AGGAGGCTATTTCCTGCCCCCCACCCCCCCAGCCACTGCAACCCCTGTGTGAGAGCATGAGCTCGGGGCTCTCACCTCTCCAGCTCACACAGGCTCCAGGCATCATGGCCAAGTGGCACTGCAAAGACAGGGACAACTGCCTGAGCACGTGTCAGAGGCACTGGGAGGGCTGGAAGTGGGCAGGGGGACAAGTGGGGGGGCACTGGGGGCAGAGGAGGTGCTAAGCCAAAGAGGAGAGGCACTAGGGGGCTGGTTTAATCATAGAATCATTGAATGTTAAGGGGTTGGAATGGAGCTCAGAGCTCAGCCAGCCCCAACCCCCTGCCCTGGGCAGGGACACCTCCCACCAGAGCAGGTTGCTCAAGGCTTTAGCCAACCTGGCTGTGAAGAATGGGCAGCCACAGCCTCCCTGGGCAACCTGTGCCACTGTCTCACCACCCTCACAGGGAAACCTTCTGCCTAATATCTAATCTAAATTTCCCTCTTTCAATTTCTCCCCATTCTTCCCTGTCCTGTCACTGCAGCTTCTAACTAAGAGTCCCTCTGCAGCTTCCCTGGAGCCCTTTCAGATCCAGAAGTTTGCCTCCTTGTCCTATCACTGGATATGATAGCCTAGTTCCTAACCAAGAGCATGACACCAGTATCAACAGTATTCCAAGCAAAACCAGGAATGAACTGTAGGTTATTTTCTTTCCAGAGGCACGATGGGCAGTTCACCATCATCCAGCTGGTGGGAATGCTGCGTGGCATTGGAGCAGGCATGAGGTACCTGTCTGACCTGGGCTATGTGCACAGGGACCTGGCAGCACGCAACATCCTGGTCAACAGCAACCTGGTCTGCAAGGTGTCCGACTTCGGCCTCTCCCGCATCCTGGAGGATGACCCCGACGCTGCCTACACCACCACGGTGGGTGGTTCCCAGTCTTGTCCTTCCTGGTGGTTGTTTCAGGACTCTAACAGATGGCAAAGTTAGAGACTTAAGATAAGTAGGGCAGGAATTGAGATGTTACCTCATTGCTGATATCTGGACAATGAGCTTGAATCCAAAAAGCTTCTGAGCCTTAATGTATTGTCCTTCAGACCATAACTGAGTGTGCAGTGAGAAAAGAGAAGCAAGAGGGGAGGGCAGGGAGCTGCTCAAACCTCCCCAGCCAACTGCTCCAGTGGGGCCTCCCCATGTCCCTGTTGAAGTCCTTCCCTAGAATCTGTATCTCCATCCACTCCTCAGTTGTCCCAGAGCCATTGGTCCATAGGTTGGTGTTCTGGTTCACTCTTCAGAAGTGTGACCACACACTGGTTTTGCCATGTGACTCTGCCTCATTCAGAGGTGTGGAAGAGGTGGGAATTGGTACTGCAACCTGTGATTTCGTTTCACATAGGATACTTTTGTCTGTGAAGTCATTTTAAGAGTTTTCTGGCCAACCATGACAGCTCTGGAGCTTGATGTGCTCCTCCGCGGGAGGTCATCAGAGGCAAACTCAAATACATTTCCCTGAAATACATACAATACATTAAATACCAAGAGCTTTTTGCTCTTCACTGGCTATGAATTAGGGTGATCCCCTGGCACACCTCTAGTTCCTGATGGAGGCCGGTTTGGAGCTGCAGCTGAGGAGTCTGAGCACTATTTCTCAGAAGGACCAAGTCTAGAGAAGCAGAAAGAGGTTCAGGTTGCTTTGGGGGAGCTGATAGCGATGCTGAGCATGTCCCAGAGCAGCTGCAGCTCTGAGGGATGAGTGCACAGTGGCCTAGCCTGAAGAACATGGCCTTCATGCCTTTGCCTTGGCTTCAGCCAAGTGGAGAAGTGAGCCAGAATGTGTCCTCTGTGTGTCTTTGCATTTGCTGATCCCTTTGATGTCTCAGGAAATAGCGGTGCTCCAGATAATTAACTTTGGGGAAGTTTCCTGCTGCTTGGTTTCTGCTGCTTTGGGGTGTCTTGGCACAGTGAAACCCACCAGAGCTGGTTGCTCTGGAGTAAGACTGGGTGGATCATGTGGATAGAGCTGAACCACAGGGATGCAGTGACAGGATCAGGGTCTCTGTGAAGGTCTCAATCAGAGTACCCTGAAAAGGAGAATGCTTCTGTGTTCAGAAACTTGTGTTCCTCCTCTGTTGCCCTTGAGCTGCTCAGGAGATTGCTCCCCCAAAGAGACTCTTCCAAAGGTCACCTTTTGCAGCTTCTGTCCCCATTGAGGCAAGTACCAGAGCAGGCAAGGCTAGGTTCATAGAACCACAGGATAAGCAGAGTTGGAAGGAACCCTTGAGGATCATCAGTCCAACCCCTGCGCTGCACAGACACCCCAACAATCCACCATGTGCCTGAGAGCATTGGCCAAACAGTCCTTGAGCTCTGTCAGGCTTGGGGCTGTGACCACAAGTGATGTCCCCACTCAACACAGAATCACAGCCTCAACGCTGTGCCAGGAGTGGTGTTGCCTTGTGCATTTTATCTAAACCAAGTCATGGAATCCCAGACTCATTTGGATTGAGAGGACCTTAAAGCTTATCTCATTCCACTACTTGCCATA